ATTGTATTTTGATTTTCATTTGTTTCCAGAAATTCATTTTCTCCTTTATTTCTTCCTTGACCCAATGGTCATTCATGAACATTTTGTTTGTTTATTTATTTACTTATTTATTTTGAGACAGTGTCTTGCTTTCACCCAGGGTGGAGTGCAGTGGCCATGCTGTCGGCTCACTGCAACTTCTGCCTCCCGAGTTCAAATGAGTCTCCTGCTTCAGCCTCCCAAGCAGCTGGGATTAAAGGTGCCCACCACCTTTTTTTACAGGTGCCACCACCATGCCGGGCTAACATTTTTTGTGTTTTTAGTAGAGAAAGGGTTTCACCATGTTGACCAGGCTGGTCTTGAACTCCTGACCTCAAAGGATCCACCCACCTTGGCCTCCCAAAGTGCTGGGATTACAGACCACTGTGCCCAGTGAGCATTTTGTTTAATTTCCATATTTCTGTACAGTTTCTAAATTTCCTCTTGTTATTGATTCCTAGTTTTATTCAATTGTGGGCCGAGGATATACTTGATAAAATTTCCTTTTAAAATTATTTTATTTGTACAAATTTATAAATTACATGTGAAATTTTGTTACATGTATATAATGTGTAGTGATTGAGTCAGGATATTTAGGGTGTAACTCAAGTACGGTTTTTTTAAAACTACAGTTACACTTCTCTGCTATCAAACATTAAATTTATTCCTTCTAACTCTATGATTTGTACACCTTAATCCACTATTTTTTATCCTCCACCCTCGGCCCCAATCACCCTTCCCAGTCTCTGTTATCTATCTTTCCACTCTATACCTCTATGTGATCAAATTTGCCAGCTCCCATATATAAGTGAGAACATGCAATATTTATGTTTTTGTGTCTGGCATATTTCATATGTTCTTCAGTCCCAACCTTCTTGCTGAAAATAACATGATCTCGTTGTTTGTTTTTAATGGCCAAAAGTATTTCATTGTGTATATATTGTACACTTTTTTATTCATTCATGTGTTGATGCACACTTAGGTTGATTCCATATCTTTTTTTTTTTTTTTTTTTTTTTTTTTTTTTTTTTTAGTACTGCTGCAATAAACATGAGAATGCAGGTATCCCATTGGTATATATTTTTTTCCTTTGGGTAGATACCCAATAGTAGAATTGTTGGAACCTGGGCAGAGGCTGGCACCATGCTTCATGTAAATCCTACAGAATAATGAGGCAATTAAACCTCTTTTCTTTAAAAATTACCATCTCATGTATTTCTTTTTAGAAGTGCAAGAATTGCGTAGCACACCCACTTATTTATCATTTTCTTTATTTGAACCTTCTCTTTTTCTTTTCTTGGTTATTCTAGTTAGCACCTTATCCATCTTGTTTATCTTTTTGAACAACCATCTTTTCTGTTTTATGAATCTTCTGGTTTTTTTTTTGTTGTCTGCTTAATTTAGTCCTGCTTTGATCTATGTTATTTATTTTCTTCTCATAATGTTGGGCTTGGTGTGTTCTCGTTTTTCTAGTTCATTGCAGTACATTGTTAGATTGCTAATTCGTAATCTTTTATACTTTTTCAAATGTAGGCATTTATTGCTATAAATTTTAGTCTGAGCACTGCTTTTGCTGTATCTCAGAAGTTTTGGTACATTGTGTTTCCATTTTGATTTGTTTCAACAAATATTTTTATTTCTATCTTAATTACTCTGTTGATCCCATGGTTATTCAGAACTCTGTTGTTTAATTTACATATATTTATATGGCTTCCAATGTTTCTCATGCTATTTATTTCTAGTTTTATTCCATGTGGTCTTAGAATATACTTTATATGATTTTAATTTTTTTAATATGTTGAGACCTTTTCGTGGCTTAACCTACAGTGTAAAATTCTGGAGAATGTTCCACGTGCTGATAAAAAATGTATACTCAGTGGTTCTTAGATATAATGTTCCATAAATGTCTATGAGGTTCATTTGGGTGAAAGAGAAGTTTAAATCCAATTATTCTTTTCTTAATTTTCTGCCTAGATTATGTGTTTTATTCTTAGAGGAGTATGTTAAAGTCTTCAACTAGTAGAGTATTGAAATCTTTTCCTTGACTTACATATAATATGTGCTTTATACATCTGGGTGTTCCAGTGTTTGGTTTATATATGTTTATAAAATCTGAATAGACTAATAATGAGTAATGAGATTACATCAGTAATAAGATGCCTCCCCACATAGAAAACTCTAGGAATAGTTGGCTTCACTGCCAAGTTCTTCCAAACTTTTAAAGAACTAACACCACACTTTTCCAAAAAATTGAGGAGGATGGATTCTTCCTAACTCATTCTATGATGCTGAGGTTACTACAATACCGAAACCAGACAAAGAAGCAAAAAAAAGGAAACTACAGGTTACCTTTCTAACAAACAAAGATGCAAAAACAGTCAGGCTCCACTACTGCAGGTATGTTGGAGTTTGCTGGAGGTCCACTCCAGACCCTGTTTGCCTTTGTATCACCAGCGGAGGCTGCAGAACAGCAAAGATTGCGGTCTGTTCCTTCCTCTGCAAGGTTCATCTCCAAGGGGCACCTGCCAGATGCCAGCCAAAGCTCTCCTGTATGAGGTATCTGTTGACCCCTGCTGGGAGGTGTCTCCCAGTCAGGAGGCATGGGGTTCAGAAACTCACTTGAGCAGGCAGTCTGTCCCTTAGTGGAGCTCAAGCACTGTGCTGGGAGATCTGCAGCTTTCTTCAGAGCCAGCAGGCAGGAATGTTTAAGTCTGCTGAAGCTGCACGCACAGTCGCCCCTTCCCCCAGGTGCTCTGTTTCTGCACAGCAAAAGAAACTATCATCAGAGTGAACCAGCAACCTACAGAATGGGAGAAAATTTTTGTGATCTATCCATATGATAAAGGGCTAATAGCCGAATTTACAAAAAACTTAAACAAATGTACAAGAAAAAAAATTCCCATCAAAAAGTGGGCTAAGGCTATGAACAGACACTTCTCAAAAGAAGACATTTATGCAGCCAACAAACATATGAAAAAAATCTCATCACCACTGGTCATTAGAGAAATGCAAGTCAAAACCACAATGAGATACCATCTCATGTCAGTTAGAATGGCGATCATTAAAAAGTCAGGAAACAACAGATGCTGGAGAAGATGTGGAGAACTAGGAATGTCTTTATACTGTTGGTGGGAGTGGAAATTAGTTGAACCATTGTGGAAGACAGTGTGGTGATTCCTCAAGGATCTAGAACCAGAAATACCATTTGACCCAGCAATCCCACTACTGGGTATATACCCAAAGGATTATAAATCATTCTACTATAAAGACACATGCACATGTATGTTTATTGTAGCACTGTTCACAATAGCAAAGACCTGGAACCAACCCAAATGCCCATCAGTGATAGACTGGATAAAGAAAATGTGGCACATATACACTATGGAATACTATGCAGCCATAAAAAAGGATGAGTTCATGCCCTTTGCAGGGACATAGATGAAGCTGGAAACCATCATTCTCAGCAAATTAACACAAGAACAGAAAACCCAATACTGCATGTTCTCACTCACAAGTGGGAGTTGAACAATGAGAACACATGGACACAGGGAGAGGAACGTCACACACTGGGACCTGTCAGAGAGTGGAGGGAGGGATATCATTAGAGAAATACGTAATGTAGATGATGGGTTGATAGGTGCAGCAAACCACCATGGCACATGTATACCTATGTGACAAACCTGTACGTTCTGCACATGAAAAGTATAAAAATAAATAAATAAATAAATAGAAAATGAAATTCGAAATTGCCACAGTACATTATCTACAAAACATCTTACATTTATATTTGTCCAATTGTTTTAACATTATCTTTTTTAAAAATCTTACTTTTCCAATTTGAGATCACACATTGAATTTAGTTATCATGGGTCTTTATTCACCTTTAATCTGGAGCAGTTCCTTAGCCTGTCACTGGCATTAATTCTTTGACATTTCTGAATAATACAGGCCCTTAATTGTGTAAGATGTTTATAAATTTTGTTTTGTCTGATAATTTATTATAGTTAGATTCAGGTGATTCATTTTTGTCAGGGACATCACAGATTTGTTGTTCATATTAATGTTGGCTATTTGATTATGATGGTGTCTACCATATATCTGCACTCTACAGGTAATATTCCCCACTCTTGAAGTTAATAAGTGGTAGGTGAAAAGATATTTTGAGACTACAAATATTCTGTTTGTCAAACTTTTGTCCAGTGGTTTTAGGATCCATTGATGAGTTATGTATGAATTAAGTATTATTTTAATGGTTGCAAAACAATGACTTTCTAAATCCATTATATATATGACTATATATATAATGATATCATTTTTTACATGTGTGTGTGTGTGTGTGTGTATAATGTTGTTCAAGGACCTGTTGCTTCTAGGATTGTTTAGCGAACAAAATTATAAAACATTTTTGGGGGATATTGGAAGAGCTTTCCTTACCATAGTCTCATTACTTATGAACCTCCCTCCAGTTCCCTGCCAGCCATACTAACTCACAGGAGCATGTCCTTGCCTTCTTCACTGTAGCTTCTTCTAACTGGAATTCCCTTACTTAATGGCTTGCCTGGAAAACACGTAACTCTCCATTTGTTGGTTTCAGCATCATCTCTTCTCTGAAGTTTCTTAAGATCCCCTCCTTAGCACTGGACATTCCCTTCTTTAATTTCCCTGCTGTACCCAAAGCAGACATGATTCCAGTATTTAGGAAACTTTATTGCACTTGTCCATTTACATGTCCTAATTTTCCAGTAACATAAAGGCAAGAAGCAAATATTACCATTTTAGTAAGATCAACAGTTAGAGAAGGAAATAAAAGTAGAAAGAATAACTAAATGAGTCAATAAATTCCCCAGCTGTTTTTCTGCTTGCCTGCTGGTGCTTGATTTCACCCAATTAACAGAAACACCACCACCATCACCACCACACACACACACACACACACACACACACACACACACACACAGACATTAACCTTGCAGAAGGTCCTCCTAAAACTTTCCTGGGCAGACCCAGCCCCCAAAAGTTTTCTCCAAGTACTGGGCCACAGCCAGGGTCAGATGATCATTAAAGGGTCCAGCCACAACCTGGATACCTAGAGGAAGTCCTTTGACATTCAGCCCCAGTGGGCACTGGGTCACAGGTAAACCCAGGGCATTGAAGACACCTAAAGAAAACAAACAAAAGAAGTGAGAAATCAAGACCTGTTCCTGAAAACATATTTCTTCATTTATGTTGTCAACAATGAAGACAATAGGTGAAAACATATAATTACTTAATAATATATAAACATATAATTACTTAATAATATTTAGGAACTTTACCTGTGTTAAATATTTGACATCACAACAAGCTAATGATATAGAAGTTATTAATTATCACTATTTTTCTGATGAAATAACTGAAGAATAGAGAAGTTAGATAACACATCCATGATCACTTGGCTAGCAAAAGCTGTAATTGAGATCTGAATGCAGAAAATGTCAATAATAGCCTAAAGTTATTTCCCGTGATGTTATTCTAACTTGTTTTCCATAGCACTTTCAGAAAAATCAGAGTAAATTATAAAGTAGAATAATATATTCTTAAATATATGGATTTTCTTTTAAGTTATAAACATTTTGTAATATCACTTCACACTAATCTAGAGTTGTGATTTGTCATTATTTACCTCATTCATGCTGTTATAAAACTTTATTGTGGCATAATTTATATAAAATAAGATTCCGCATTTCAAATGTAGTTTAATGATTGCTAATAAATTTACAGAATTGTGCAAGCATCACCACAATCTAGTTAGAGAACATTTTTATCATTCACTCCAAAAACTCCATACCAATCAGCAATTACTCTCCATTTCTCTATTCCCCCAATCGCTAGTATCCAGTAATTTAACTTTTATCTATATAGATTTCCTATTCTGAACACTTTCTAGAAATTGCGTTATATAATATGTAACATTTTGTGTCTGATTTCTTCCATTCTGCACAATGTTTTCAAGGCTTATATAAATGATTCTTTTATGGACAAAGACTATTCCATTGAATAAATATACCAAATTTTGATTATCTATTCACCAGTTACTGGACAGTTGGACTAACACTTTTGGCTATTACTAATTATGCTGCAAAAATCAGCAATATAATTACACGTTTGTTTATAAGTCTTTGTATGAATATTTGTTTTTGTTTCTTGAGCATATATATACATATATAGGTGAATGAAATAGTGAAGTCTTATGACAAATTTACATTTAACATTTTAAGAAAATGCCAAACTGTTTTCCAAAGAGTCTGCACGAATTTAACAATAGCCTTACCAGAAATATATGAGGGTTCCAGTTACTCCACATGCTCATTAACCCTTATCCTTTTTGTTTATGACTATTTTAGTGAATGTGCATTGATAACTCCTTGTGGTTTTAATATGCATTTCCCTAATGAGCAATTACATTGAACATTCTCTCATGCACTTATGGGCAATTAGTATGTTTTCTTTAGGAAAATGTCTATTGAAATCCATTGTGCATTTTAAGTTGGGTTATTGTCTTATTATTGAGTTGTAAGAGTTTTTTCTATGTTTAGAATATAAATCCCCAGTCGTTATATAATTTGCAAATATTTCCCCCTGGTCAGTGTCTTTTCTTTTATTATTGAAGCTATTGAAATAGCTTTTTTTTTAAATTTTGGCAAATTCTAATTTATCGTGTTTTCTTTTGTTGCCTGTGCTTTTGAAGCTGTTTCTAGGAAGCCTTTTATCTCAAGGTCATGAAGATGTACTCATGTTTTCTTATAACAATATTAGAGTTTTAGCTTTTACATTTAGGTCTCCTATTTATTTTACATTAGTTTTTGTATACATTGTGTGTGCGGCAAGGCTCCAACTTTATTCTTTTGCATGTAGATACCCAGTTGTCCTAGAACCATTTGATGAAAAGACTATTAATTCTTCACTGAACTGTACTGAAACCTTTTAATAAAGGTTTCAATACTTTTTACTTTATTAAAAGTAAATTGAGAGGAAAGTAAAGAAAGTGATGTCAGCAAGATAACAAACTAGGAGTTCTCCAGTTCCAGTCCCCCTCACAGAAATCCAACTACCAACTATTCGCAGATAAGAATACTTTCATGAATATCCCTGAATTTGGGAGATAGCCCCTCCAGCCACAGAACAGATAACGGCTGCATTCAAAGGGTAAGAGGAATGGTTTCACTTCGTATCATCACCCTCTCTCAAACTGTAAGGGTGTCACAGAAGATTCCCCTGGGCTTATGTTTCTGCAGGGGAAAAGAGAGTTGTAAGCATATATCCAGCTTCCTCATTGTTGTGAGGTGCTTTACAGGAAGCTCACTCCTGTCTCTCCATGACAAACATTGGGAATACCAGCAGGTCTAGGGCACCTGAGGTTAGTTAGAAATGAAGAAAAGGGGTGGGGCTCACAATGATGAGCACATGGATTTTGGCAGTAGCTCTTCACTTTTGTCAATGAAGGTGCTAAATGATAGAAAGCAGCCAACTATGGCTCTGCAGGAACCATAGTCCATGGGTTTGCATAGCTGAAGTCCCTAGCCAGCTTCCTTATGTAATGTCACTTCTCTTCTTGAGCCTTTTCCAGGCTTGGAGGCAACTGTAGGTCAGTAATTATCCATGGAATAGAGCATCTGGCCCCACCCAACCCCACTGACTGTATGACAATCCCACTAAGGCTTAATGTTCTCTTTAAGGCTTCCTCAGGCCAGAAGGCAAGTGCTGATCCATGAATACCTGTAAAGGAAGTACCTAACCTGGCTTGTCCCAGGTGGCTGAACAGTAACCCCAGAGACCTCCTCGAGTCTAAGAGCATGAGCACATGGCCCTGACTGACTACAGATTCCAAACAGCAGTACTGTTTTGCTGGGGAAGGCAGCATGCAATGCAATCTGATCAGAGGTGATTGCAAAGGACAGCCATCAGCACTGCCAAATTAAAACCCAGCTACTTGTCTCATCAGACTACAAAGCACAGCTCACCATTCCACTCAACCTCAAACTACAAGCAGCAGCTCACCCCAACTAGAGAACCCAAGAGCAAGGTCAGCTGTCCAGGGTTGCTATCAGTTGGTCTACCCAAAATCCCAGGTTAGAATAAATACTGAAAGATTATCATGGCCAAAGAACACCTACAAAGGCTGAAAGAGGTGGTCAGGTACCCAAATGCACAGGCACCAAAACAAGAACACAAAAATTACAAATAATTTCTAAAAATCACAAAAATAAACTAATAAACCTCTATGGACCCTGAATGAACAGAGATCTATGAAATGACTGATAATGAATTCAGAAGTAGTTAAGGAACGTTATAAGTAAAAGTGTTTAAGGAAAGGTAAGGTAGTTAAAGAAAGTATAAGAAAAAATAATGAAGAAAGTCTGAGAATTATGGGACACTATCAAAATAACCAATGTTTAAGTAACAGAAGTTATGCCATCCCTCCTTCCCCTGGGCTAGGGAGGAAATGGGAAAGCTAAGCACTTCTGCAGCCTTTAGCACAGATACCACAGCTGAAGTACAAAGGAGCAACAGGTATACTGCATGCCACACAACTCCCCACTTTTACTGCTTTCCACCAAATGGGGCTTGTAGGCTCCAGGTCACCAGTGCACCTTTCCCTGCCCCTGCTTGAACACTGTGGCCATGGCTTGGCATTTCTTTGACAGCCCAAATCCCAGAGGTTGCTACCAACCATTTTGCAGCCACAACTGCCACTAACTTTGCCCCTGCCACCTCTGGGCCAGGGAGAGAGTAGGGAGGCCTGGCACCTACCTGTGCATGCCTCCCACAACAAAATCCAACACTACATCTGTAGAAGGAAAGTGTGAGTGTACCACGTGCCTCACAGTTTCCAGTTTCCATTTTTCCAATTTCGGGGACCTGCCCTACGCAGTGAAAGGTCCACAGCGTGACTGGCCTGCCCCCAACTGAATATTTCAGCTGCAGCCCAGAGCCCCTTGGAGAGCCCAATAACCACAGGCCAGTTTCCACCCTCAGGTTCCCACCACTTGACTGGTCTACCTGACCTGCCTGAGAGTTCAACCAGTGACCCAGGGACCAACCCAACTCTCCCCATTACACAGACAGCACTGAACTCTGGGCTGGCTCAACCCAGGTCCAGCTCCTTCAGGACTCGTAAATGTCATCCAGTGGACCATCTAAGGGCCTGGGGACTGGAGAGCTACCTAGCCCAGTCTAGCACAGCTAGTACTTACCCAGTCCTCCTGGCACCTGAGGTCAGACTAACCTAACCAGCTCACACCACCACAAATGACACCCACTACATGGGCTGAAAAGCAGACCTCTCCCTTACATGAAGCAGCAACATTAATATGTCAAAGAACAGGTGAGCCATAAAGCTGTCTGTATTTGGGTTGAGTGAGTAAAGATATTCTGCCTCAAAAACACCCCCATGGAAAGTTGCAAGAGAGGCATCTTCCTTGGCTCTCAGACACACTGTGGCCTGGACAGATAACAACGCGCGTCTGAAGTGTACATGATGAGCCCTATGACAAGGGTGTGAAAAGGGAACAGATTGTATTCCTGCCTATTTAGGACATGGAGGCAGTGCAACCCCCTCACTTCCAGCAGAGGCCTAAGTGTATGTACCAGGAGTTCCCCCAGTCACCCTTATCAAGACTGGTGCCTGTGCTCATCATTAGAGTATTTGTGGGCAAGCCAAAGGGTCCAAATCAGATCAAGTGTGTCACCACAAGCCACAGTCAAGAAGGAAGCTCAGGGCATTGGGAACCCCACTATCTAGCTCATTACCTGAAACAACAGAGATCCCCTCAGAGTAAACAAAGATCAAATACCCATCTGCTTGTGCCACATCTGCATCTTACCCTTAAGTGCTACCCCCTGGCCAGCAGGTCAAACTGCATAGCCCAATAAAAATGTTTCCAGTGGCCGGGCACAGTGGCTCAAGCCTGTAATCCCAGCACTTTGGGAGGCCGAGTCGGGTGGATCACGTGAAGTCAGGAGTTCGAGACCAGCCTGACCAACATGGAGAAACCCCATCTCTACTAAAACTACAAAATTTGATGGGTGTGGTGGCACATGCCCATGTCTGTAATCCCAGCTACTTGGGAGGCTGAGGCAGGAGAATCACTTGAACTGGGGAGGTGGAGTTTGTGGTGA